AAGAAGTTAGAATAATGTAGGCAAAAATGTAGGTGAAGTGTTTGTGCTTTGTAATATATATACATACATAGGCATAATTTAATTTTTATGTATTATATATTTTACCCATGTATATTTACAAGAAAGACAAAGTGGTGAGAGAATCATGAGGGCAAACTACATGCGTTATGCCACATCAGTATATTCACAACCATAAACAAGCCATGGAGAATTAATCTCCATTTCTTTATTTTTTAAAGCTTCATAGTAGCAGAAATATATATATGCCACTTTTGGGGCTCCATTATCAATGAATTCCACTGTACCATAAGAATAATTTTCTAAGAAATAGTCTAAGTTCCATCATTCATTAATCTAGTCCTTTTATCTTTGGATCTTCCAGTGAACTGTTGATTATTTTGAAATTATAGCTGAAATCCTTGTACCTACTACTGTTTTTGATTCACGTTACGATCTTAATATTAGTTTGTAAGTAATTATATTTACAAATTACAGCTAGAAAATTTTGAGAAATTATTAAAACAGAAATTTGTGTTCAACCTTAATTTGGCTCATATTTTAAATAAACATGCATAGTTTCAAAAATACTATACAGTTATATCTTAATGTTCACACTTCCACAAGATGATTGGCCTTAAAATGAATGGTTTCCATCCTAAAGTGAAGGAGAATAGAAATATTGGAAACTTCAAATTATATGTATTGGTTTTTGATTCTGAAATTGAGACATTTTTCTCTCAACTGTGGAGGAAACTGCCTGGTAACACGGGTACATGTTGCAATTACTAAATAAGGAGACCGAAGTATATAAGAAAAAAACAATTTTGCAATGTTAAATAGATAGTTCTAGGAAAATGTGTAACTACTCAATCTACCAGTATGCATTCAGCAAGATGTTTCTTGATGAGTCTGACATTTTTAGATAAAAAAGTGTAATACAACAGAAGTGTGATTGCTTAAAGAAATTTAAGGTGCACTAATATACAGGTTTATGACTTCCTGGAGTGTTCTGTATGGTTGATGGTGACAGGGTTTTAACTGATCCTATGATTTACCTTTTCTATAGTGTTTATGAGTTTGATAATCTTGTCTTTCATTTGATACATTTACTTACAAAAACCCCCACTACCCTGACTTTATGGCTTTATACAAGCTCAGCTTCAACGGTACAAGAAAGTTAGATCTCCACGCCACCAATTGAAAAAATTACTTACCTAGAACTTTACTGTAAAACTGATCCCAGTTCTTTATATCCCATACTTGGAACCAAAAGTCAAAATAAACCGTATAGATCATATTTTGTACTCTCTCCATGAAAGTCATTTGATCTCTTAATTCTGACATAGAAACAGGTACATAGGAAGGAGGGAAGAGAAATCCTCCACCATGCTTTTCAAGTGCGTAGCCAGGAGAGGAACGGAGGCTGTACACAAAGGGTATTTTAAGTAGCTCAGCCAGCAGCTCACCACAGGGGGAAATAGCATCTGCAAGAACAACATCAAATCTTGACTCCTGTAGTTTCTTCATAAGTTTCTTATTAGAAACCACATCTTTACAGAACTTTCTAATCATGTCACCATATGTCCACATTATTTCTTGTACGTGTAAAAAATGTGGCCGAAATGTATCTTTTCGAATGTCTGACCATCTCTTAACCAGTTGCGTGACGCTATCCTCAAACTCAGTTTCAGTTAAAGATGTAGGACAAATTTCAAATTTAAGAGGAGATGGGGTGTTGGGATCAGGAAGAATGGAAGTTGAATATGCCAGTACAGTCACCTCATGACCTCTCTGGACAAGCTCATACAGAATTGTCTGTATATTCATCCAATGGCTGAATTCTGTGGGCCACACCAGCACCTTTCCACAACTCCCAGAGCTCAAGCAACAGCTCAGCTGTATCAGCAGAAGAGCTGAAGTCCATTTCATAGACATCCTGATGCAATGCAATGCTTGTTTTCCAGTTGCCGCTCTTTTCTGTCATTTCTCATGGTGACATCCAAGTATAAATCAGTCAAGAAGTTAAAATGTAACTTTTACACTTCAAAGTAAATACATTAATTTAACAGTCTGAGCATGTGGATAACAAGGAGACAAATAAACGGTAGAAGACCTGTTTATACAAGTGAGTTTATTTTCCTTTTCATATTTTTAAGTGCTATAATTCAGCTAATATCAGTGATTTGGAGAGACACATCACCTGATTCATGTAATATATTTCAGAATAGTGTCCATAAGAGTAGCTATGAAAGGCTCATATTCCTGCAGTGTCTTTGACACAGAACTAAAGATAAAATAGCTAAACATGGTTCAAAAACTTCTGTAAATTTGTTGAAATATAATTCAGATACCATACAAATTATCAACTAATGTGCAAAATTTAATGTTTCATAGTATATTCAAAGACTTGTGCATCTCCCATAACAGTCAGTTTTAGAAAACTCTTATCTCCTAAAACTAAAGCCTATACTCTTTATCCTTTTACTCCCTACCCCTACTTTCTGCAATTGTCCTATCTTGGGCAAATGCTAATTGAATTTCTATCACTATAGATTTGCCTATTCTGGACATTTTTTAATACATGGACTCATACAATATCTTTTATGACTGGCTTATTTTACTTAGCATAATATTTTAAAGGTTCATGTATGACAGAACATTTATATGTTGATTCTTACTACTATCGTGTATGATTTAGACAGTTTCAAGATGAAACTATCCCT